TTTCCAGGCACAACACCGTGGAAAGGTGCTCCAGTCGACCGGATGTGCACTCGGTCGATGCCCATGGCATCGAGCGTCTCGTCGTACATGATGTTGAGGTCGCTACCCCCATCCATCAGTACCTTGGTGAGCCGCTTCATACCAACGATCGGGTCGACCACGAGCGGATATCTCCCTGGTTGCGGGACGCTCTCCAGGTGGTCAGTCCGGTCAAAGGTTATGGTGGACTCTAACCACCGGAGGAAGGCAGTCATATTTGGTTCGGTTGTATAGACCTCGCGGCGTGCGACCTTCTGGCAGCGCTTGGAATCATAGGCCGCCAACCATCCGAAGATCATGAGGCAGCCATCCAGCATTGGAAAGCCGCTGTCCTTCCCCTTAGCATCGTCCGTGGTCGGGTCAGGGTCCTTCCCGTGCTCCCCTTTGTTCAAGCCTTCGGACAAGAACTGCTTCATGAGGTCGTAGTCCTTGTACAGGTGCTTAACGAGAAAGGCATGGTTTGGGCATGGTCCCTCGAGCAGTTTCTTGAAATGGTTCGGAGTGCCCTCCATGGGCTTTCAACCACCCTTGTGGTCTGTAGTGGCCACGAGAGAGCCCTCGCGCCATTGCTTATTCTTCTTCTTGGCAGGACGATTGGAGGCGCCTTCGCCGGCTTCCTCGTCTTGTCTCACCTTGCCTTTGAGGTGATCGAATATCTCTCTGACTGCTTCTTCGCCCGAGGCATGGCTGGTGGCGATATCTAGGAGTTCCTTGGTGGTTCGTGGGCCCTTGCATCCCAGCTTGTGAACCAGACACTCGCAGGTGGTCCCAAATAGGAAAGCTCCTATGACGTCGGCGTCAACGACATTAGGTAGCTCATTGCACTGATGGGAGAAACGCCGGATGTACCCATAGAGGGTCTCATCGGACTTCTGTCGGCAGTTCTTGAGGTCCCATGGGTTCCTAGGGCGCTTGTATGTGCCCTGGAAGTTCCCCATGAAGATCTCCTTTAGGTCCGCCCAACTCTGAATTCTGTTGGACGGCAGGTGTTCCAACCATGTTCGTGCCGAATCGACCAAGAACAATGGAAGGTTGTGGATAATGAAATTATCATTATCCGCACCACCAGCTTGGCAGGCAAGCCGATAATGCTCGAGCCATAGTCCGGGGTTCATCTCCCCAGAGTACTTCAGGATGTTGGTTGGTGGTCGGTACCTTGGCAGGAAGGTAGCATTGAGGATGTGTCGACCGAAGGCCTGAGGCCCCGGCAGGCCGAGTTTCAGGCTTTGGTCCTCATTGTTGTCGTAGCATCCGCCTCGGCGAGGGTGATAGCCGTGGCTAACTCCCTCTCCCAGGTTATCGTGGGTACGCTTGTGTGCGTCAAGGGTGTCACGTGTGTTATGGTTGCGGCCGAGACGCTGATGCACCAGGACCGCGGCGCGCTGCCTGCCACCTTGTGGCGCCTGGTGGACTGATGCATCCCTGCTGGGACGCTTGGAGAGCATGCGTTGGCTGGCGTCGAGCTCGCGTCACCGAGACAACGAGCTCTCGGCCTGCTGCACCACCGCATGCTCGAGCAGCGTGCGAATCTCGCGGTGGGCCCGATGATCCTCGGGCATCGTGGCCTCTAGATGACCATGGAGCAAGGCCATCGCGGTGGCGATGTTCTGGCTTGCCCGAATGAAGCGAGGGAGGGTTTCATCATCCGCGATGATCCTTCGGTTCACGTCACGGGCCATGGCGCGTGCGCGCCCACCGTCTCCATGGCGCTCGATCTCCCGATTGATCTTCGCGCACTCCTGCTTGAGCTAGAGTCACGCTTCCTTGAGGTCTTGGTGTCGGGCTTTCAGCTGCTCTACCCACATGCGTGGTGGGGCTACTGTCTCCCCCTCGGCCTCATCGTCGAGGTCGTTTATTGGGGTAGCCTCCTCCTCATGGATGCTTTCGACGTGTCCCTCAGGGGTACCTGTCATGAAGCATTCATGAGAGGGGTGATGACTCTCCCTGCTAGAGTCAGAGCCAGAGGGCAACTCTGGCTCCTCTGCGAGGAGGTTGTCGAAAGATTCTGCGATGTGCTCGATCACCCCCACAAATTCGTCGTTCGTGGGAGGTGGAATCATGCGTTGCACCACAAGGTGGCTAACGATCTCCGCGACGTTGCGGAGACCAAACGGGAGCACTGTCGGGGCGCTCTGGACGAGGTGTTCCGGAGAGAGGGGTTCCCCTCCGGCGAGCCATGCCATGTCGTTGGCGTAAGAGAAGGTGAGGTGGCGCATGTCCTCCTAGGACGGCTAGGGTCCCAGGGAGACACCGAGATGGCGCTCAAGCCTCCCATAGTCGAGGAGCTAGTTGTTTCTAGGGGCACATGCCCCCGGTGCATGCAGCTGCAGCTCCTCAACCACCTTGTCTACTGTGTCGAGGCTGATGGAGGGGAGAGGTTGGATGGCGGCGTGAGCCAGTGCCAACTCTCCTCCCACCGTGATAATGAAGTTCAGGTCCCCGAAGCACACGTGTGCGCCTGGGACCTAGCTGATATCGTGACTAGCCATCCGTGGCCTGATGTTAATGTCGGGATGCGCAAAGGCCCCTACCTGGCCTGCTAACTGTCGGTGTTTCGAGTAAACACCAACGAGTAAATTTGTGTTATTGCACGTCTGGCCCGGATGGTATGCTAAAAAGACGCAAGGTTTATACTGGTTCGGGCAGAATGTCCCTACGTCCAGTTCATGGCTGCTGCTCGTGTTATTAGCATTGAAAAGTTCATAGTAGGGGTTACAAACGGGCAAGAGAGGGACAGATCCCAAGTCTCAGATGGAAAGGTCGAAAGGGTGCTGAGAGCTTGATTGCTGCTCAGTTATATGTTCAAGGTTGGATGCTAGTGGTTCTGCTGTGATGTGGTCTCATCGATCCCCTTAGTGGAGTACCCTGCTTTCCCTTTTATAGGCCAAGAGAGAGCATGGATTACAGATGGGAGAAAAAAGAAGAAAAACCCAGAGACAAATGATGTCCTTCAAGGATGTTGGGTCTTCCTTTTCCTCTGTGCGGGCCCCACTGACATGGCAGGCAGTGCCAAGGATAGCTCCACGCTGGGTGCATGTCCGCTGATCTTGATAGGGCCGCGTCGGGCGTCTATCCGCTGATGATGCCATGTCCTGGAATTGTCAGCAAGTTGTCACGTCCCATCCCGCCCTGGCGGGTGGCGCGGCAGATCAGGGTGCTAATCCGCAGCCATACAGGGAGCAGACGGCATAGTGACCGCACGTCCGTTACTATAGGTGATGCGAGTTTCCTCCTGGACCGTAGTGGTTGTCGTGAGCTTCCGTCAGGATCCGTGCCCGAGGGCAAATGGCGGCGCCCACAACACTGTAAGACAAATGTCGGTGCCTACAACATTGTTTGGGCTCTGACATGCCTGGAAGGTTGCAAAGCGCCCTTCTTGTCATATCCTAACAGTACTTTCCTGTAGGCGTGCAGGGTATAGTCCTCGGTATTGCGGTTGACTTGAGTGCCCTGCCTTATCTGCGCGCGTCGTTAGGAAGGAGTCACGCGCAAACATCGGACGAGGCGGAGCCAACCCTCGGGGGTCGGGCGAGGCGGAGACATCCCTCAGACATCGGGCGAGGCAGAGCCAACCCTCGGGGGTCAAGCGTGGCGAAGCCAGTCCTCAGACGTCGGGCGAGGCGGAGCCAACCCTCAGGGGTTGGGCGAGGCAAAGCTAGTCCTCAGACGTCGGGCGAGGCGGAGCCATCCCTTGGGAGTCAGCCTGAGGCGTTCCCAACCCTCGGGGGTCGGATGATCGGACGAAACGGAGCCTGCGGCCTTGGTGGTTTGGATGAGGCAGGGCCCACTGGGAAATGTAGTCGCGTTCTTGATCGCTCTGATGAATTAGCGTTGATGGGTATCAACTCCTCTTCTTCGGGTACCCCACTATCGGTCCCCGACACTTAGCTAAGTTGTATACGCTAGATACTTGGCTGCATTGCCTTTTTATGAGATACGCCAACTACTCTCAGTCGACTCACATCTCTGCGGCTGGTGTGCGCCGCTAACCGACATTTAGTTAAATGATATCGCATGTTGTCTTGGGTAGGGTGATTCTCGGAAGCAAGGCACCTGATTCGTTCACTCTGGTGCGGGTCCCTCACAGTGAACAATCGTTAAAGGCCCCTTGATACAAGTGGTATTACACACTTAACGCCGACGGAAGGGTCTAACATGATTTTCATCATAATGACTGCATCGACTATTTTTACTCGGATAACTTGTCTTATGCGCCTATCAGGACAACACAAGATAAATAAATCTGACTAGCACAGGCTACAATCTTAGTCAAGGTTAACAGCCTAAACACTTTTTTAACAAAAGTTATATTACAAGCCAACCCCCTGGGGCACTCGGCCCACTCGGCTTACTAATAGACTAACAGAATCCATTGATGATTCAATATAGTCTTACAATGTCTACAGCACTACGTGAAAAACGGTTTGTAGCAACGGGATAAATTTTTTATAGGGGCGGCTGGTGATGAAGCCGCCCCTACAGTGGCGTGCTCGGGAGCCATTAGACCAGCCGCCCCTACAAATAGCACAGTAGGGGCGGCTAATAATACGAGCCGCCCCTACAAATGGGGTCGATTTGTAGGGGCGGCTCACTCACTAGCCGCCCCCAGTGTTACGATTTGTAGTTGCGGCTCAATCACCAGCCGCCCCTACAAATCACTTGTACAACGAATATCTCCCAGTCCCCAGTCCCCCGCCCGGTCCCGTTCCCCTCTGATCCTCCCCCCCCTCTCTCTCTCTCATCCCCGTCGTCGCCACCTCCGTCGTCTCTTCCTCCCCTACACCTACGCCGCCGCCGCACCTCCCCTCTTCCTCCTCCGCCGCCACCATCCCTCCCCATCCCCCAACCACGATAGCTCCACGGAGGCCGAGATCTAGGCATGGTGGCTCGTGAGTCCAGCGGCCGCCAGATCCGGTAAGGGGCCGGCTCCCACGGCCCGGTTGATTTCAGAGAGGCCCTCCATGGCCTCACCTTCACAAGGCGTCGCCAAGGAGGCTAGGCGACCTCGGTGGCATGCCCCAGATCTGGCGAGGCCGCCTCCTACAAAGCTGCTGCAGATCGGATCTAGAGAACTAGCTCTCGCCCGCCGCCCCGCCTTCTCACAGGCGTTGCAGCTCACGGCCCAGACTTTCCAGAGGGGCACCGCCGCCCACCCTCGCCCGCGAGATGGGCGCCTCTCCGCCAAGGAGTCCCTGCTCCTCGCCGTGAGCTCTTGCTCTTCCTCTGCTCTTCTCAGTCCCCTTGCCTAGTACTACTTGCTGACCTTCCTGTGCGGTGCTGCATGGAGGCTCTTGTCCCCACACCGCACCAAATTGTAGGCGATCATGTCAAATTCTAACCTGTAATTTTAATCTAAATTTCACTTTGATTTTTTTCTCTCCACAATCTCCGCATGGAAATGATATTTTTCCATGATTGTGTGTCCGACTTGTGAAATGACAGCTAGTTGATACTGAACTTTTGAGGCATTTCTCAACTAGGGTATGTGAATTTCTTCTTACCAATTTCAGTTTAAAGATGCTGGGGGTTTTGAGGCCTTGGTCAGCGGGAAGACTACTGAGATGCAGAGGATCGATGTCAATGAGCGAATTGTTGTACTTGAACGCCTAAATCCGACACCACGCCCCACAACGTAAGTGTTATGGCTAACAAAAAACGTATTATGTGCTGTATCTTGCTTGAGATAATTTTCATAGTAACCCTATGATTTAAGCACTAAGATGAGATGAACTTTCTTTCATTCTGACCAAAAAAGCTTTTCTGTGTAAGCATGTTACATTAACTTGAATTCCTTCTATTTACTTTGCAGGTCGCCGTTTCTGGAAGGTCGATGGGACTTTGAATGGTTTGGTGATAGCAGTCCTGGAGCATTTGCGGCCCGTCTTTTGTTTGAGTATGTCCCTGTCGCTGTTTGTTGGGTGCAAGTTATAATTTCAATATTTCATTTGACTTGAATTCATTTTAAGTCAAGCTTCTCCTGATAGCACGTGTGTTCTAATTTGAAGGAGGTCACCTACAGCTGTTGCACACTTTACGGGACTTGATGTGTCGATCAAGGATGGATACTCCAAGCTCTCATCTAACCTCAAGTTTCTAAATACGGTAATGCCAGAAGATTTTAGGAGTGTACCTACTATTTTTGCATAGTTTATTGGATCCATCTTTGATTCTTAAGTTTATTGGTTCTATATGACATTTATGTGCCTGGCAAGTCAGTATCGCTTACAAGTTACAATATGCAGGATTCACCTTTTATAATAAAACCAGTCTGTGTCTATATCTGTGTTAGTAACAGATTGTGCGCAAAAGCTTCCATAAGCTGAGGATACTTCATAATTATGTTGAAGTCATTTATTAGCAGGTCGTTAGTATCTGTATTTTTTTTTTGAAATTAGTACACATTAGTATCTGTATTATCTGCAAGCTGAATGTTTCTGTGTGATTGGGGATTATTTTATTGTTGCACTGCCATTCTCACTATTTAGCAACTTCCTTTTTTATGTTTCCAGATACAAAGCAAGTTCCTACTGACAACTCAATTGTCTGTTGAGGGCCCCATCAGAATGAAAGAGGAATACGTTGAGGGCCTTATAGAGATTCCCATAATCAATGAAGAATCATTGCCTAAACAGTTAAAGGGCTTGCTTGGCCAAACTGCAGGAGCTCTACAACAACTTCCTAGCCCTATAAAGGATGCTGTTTCAGAGGGGCTTAAAGTGCCACTTGGTAAGTATGCAGGGCTTCACACTCTTGTAGCAATATGCTAGTTAGAATACTATCATTGCTGGAACTATATATACTAGGCACACACGCTTCTAGTTTCTGAGGACGTATTGCCTGCTTAGATAGAGAAACTACTGATTTTGTTATGTGAATTCTTTTTGTCAATGGATTCTTGCCAATTTATTTGCCAAAATATTAAATTGTTGAGGAACATGTTAACATTGGCAGTTGAGGAATGCTTCTTTGGCTTACTCTCAGGGTTAGGAAACAGAATCGGTCCTAATATTGGGAGGGATCCAATTGTTTATAGGGTCGTAAAAAACCCTTTTATGATTTTTTAAAAGTGACATTCCTTTTTTACATGTAAATTTAACAGTCATTTCATTTACGTTTTGATTTGCTTGGTTGTATCGGATTGGAGTTGGAGTGTTGGACTATAGTAGATTAGTATGAGGGGGAGGTGGTTCTTGCTGAGCAGGCTGACAAGACTGGGGAAAGCAGCCCTTCCGTGGATGACAAGGCCACAGAACATCAATGTGAGATTTTTTTTGTTATTGACTTTTGTACATGCGTGAATCTCTTTGTACAATGCAAGAATTACTATATTTGGCTTCACACTTAAATTGATTTATTTTCAGGGGAGCTAATTGATAATTTTCTGCAGACCACTGCTAACCAGCTGACTGTCTATGGGTATATTTCTAATAATCTATGGTTTAAATACATGTTCTCAATTGTATTCTCATTTATCACATTGTCAAATTTCATTGTCGCAGTCTCTTCTGTCTAATAATCTGTGATTATTTTAATTCTCGCTTGAGATCAAAATCTTTATTGATCTTTTTCATTCTCAACTGACAATCATTAGGTGAATGGAGATGGGGTTTTTCTTACCAGCAACTTCACACCCTTTAAGGCTGAAACTCCAAGAAATGATTCATGGAATGAATAGCAAGCTATGACGAGTACTGTTGTATGTATAACATCAATAAACTGCTGTAGTTGTTATTAGGTACATTAATGTTAACTAGTTCAAATTTATCTTTGTTCACAGGATTATCTTGCTCAATTTGACAACACTTCTGGAAAGTATGTTCTTCCTACCTGTTTTTCTCAATGTGCTTTATTGTTGTGTGTGTGTACAACATTCCTAATTTGGATTTTAGCAACCATGTGAATCTTGTATGAATGGTACTGTGCAGAAAATGTCCGTTAGTAGGGCTATAAATGATATGCTAGTTGAAGCTATAGTTTCTTTTCTGATCTGTTGATTGTTGCTGTTAACCAAGCGTAATAACTTTCTTCAACTTCGACTATTTAATGGTTTTTCTGTCATTGTGTATTGGACTGTCGGCTTAGCATGTACTTGAATGACCAATATATGTCTTACTGTGATTTTGAATGTGCTCAACGTGCTGAATCATCATAGATGTGCACTCTTGAGTCACTTTGCATGTGTTATCTAAATTCTAACGCTACCACATTGGCCCTCCTATGCTTGCAGCTCTGATCTGGAGCTAGCTATAGCACTTCAACAGCAAGAGTTTGAGCGGCAACCACAAAGGTTTCAAGCTCCACCACCACAGCAGCAACAACAATAAGTATAGGAGCCAGGGATTACATATGCCCCTGCGAAATCTTAATTATAACATCAAAGTTTATATTGTGTGTTCACTTGTTCTGTAAATTTATTGTGTGTTCACTTGTTCTGTAATCCATGAATATCACCAAAATTTATATTGTGATACTTCCTGGAATATCATACCAACTGTATGCTAAGCACTATGATATCAAAAAGGAAAAATCATCCATGTATCTCAGTATCATTTTCATGTCTTTCATGTCTTTGTGAAAGTGCTAAGATGAATAACTGTATGCTAAGCAGCCCTTCCGTCGAATTTGAATTATAAATTTAATTTTTGTTGGAGGAAAAATGATTTGTAGAGATGGTTAGTACTGTAGCCGCCCTACAAATCGATTTGTAGGGACGGCTGGTGTTCCCAGACCGCCCTTATAAATTGATTTGTAGGGGCTGCTACAGTACCAACCACCCCTACAAATCGATTTGTAGCCACCATTTTATAGGGGCGGCTGGCAAAACCGTTCCTATAAACGGTTACCGGCCGCCCCTAAAAACGTTTTTCTACGTAGTGCAGGCTACAAGCTAGCGTACAAGTTTAACTGATTAGCAGCAACGGAGGCTTGGTTACCTACACGGCTGCCCTCGCCGCTCGCCAACATCATCTGTTGTCAACAAGTTTCCACAACAACTCGGATTCTCACGATTGCCTCTTCGGCGGTCTGTGACAAAACGCTGCTGTGGTGTCCCTCGCTGACCCGCAATGGGCCTCCGTCGAAGTCGAGCAGCAGCCCCAACGTCTCCAGCACGACTCCGGGGTCTCGCAATGAGCTCCTGCTCACTCAATCTTCATGGAGATCTACAGCTGTAAGCAGTAGCGGCGTCGAACACACAACATGTATGTCAAAGTCCCAACCCAGCACACGTCGACCATCAGGGCCTTGCATCTTGATGATGGGTCACGTCGACCAGCAAACAAGGGATGAAGGGAAGAAGTGTGATCTACAGCACCATGCATGTCCATATGACAAAGGCACGAGGCTACGTTCACCAAGATCACACAAGCTAAGTCACGGTCCGAAACGCCGCTGCCGAGTGACGTCAGGACTTTCACAATCGCGTGCATGGACTGCTACTCGACGCTGATTGACAAGCGACAACTATCATACGCCGGGATTCATCAAGTTCTTGCAAACCTCGACTGGATACAACTATTCGCGCACGGCTATGAGATTATGTTCGTCCAGGCAACACGAATGCAAGCTGATTATCAAAAGCCATGCAAGCTACTTGCACGTATTCATCATTTCATCCAACATGCAAGAAGACGACAAGCTAGCAAGCTACTGGGAGATTTAAATCGTACATATGTACACGCTCTTACTACAGGTGTACATGTATATGCTCATCCATTTACTCGGATACCACGCCACTAAGCTCGGGCTCGACCATTGTCACAGCTTACTCGGCTTCATTCCAACTATGCTCGGAGGCTTGGATTCAAGGGTGGAAGACCAAATTTACAAACATTTCAACAACTCGGCGACAAGCGGTCATTAATCCTTCTCTTCAGGAAATTACTCGTCTGCGCCCCTGAGGACGTCTACAAGATCCTATAATCGACTCCGAGTAGTCGCATTGTAGGCTCGGGGCTGCGTTATATATATCTTCAGAGGATGCATTCAAATTTCTTCAAAAGGAATTACAGACAAGATCCTCCAACTCTTTGTTCCAAATAGCAAGAGGCTCGGGGCTAAGCATATATGCTTCACCTAGAGGTGACGCATATTGACTTCAAGAGCACTTCATGGTTTCTCTCAAGAAAGCACTTGGACAACGCTTGTTTCTACTCAGCAAGACCTGGAGAAACAAGAAGGCTTCCAAAGATCAACCATACAATGCTTGGGGCTTGTGGGACATAGTCCCCGGGTACCCCGCAAGGAAGGAGAAGATCTAGTCCGCCTAGAAATTCCCGTAATTCTAGTAATATAGCTACCCTATAATCCTACTAGGACTCTTACATTGTAACCGACTATGAGACTTGTCCCCTGGCCTATATAAAGGAGGGTAAGGCTCACTACTACACAAACGATTTTGCAAGATGGTGCCCTTTTATTAACGGCAGCAGTCACAAAATCCAACAGTCGTGGTTAATGCCTACGATTAACGGAGGCAAAAAATTGATTTACGGAGGCAAGCGTCTTAAGACAAATGCCTCTAAAAATAGCATATTTTCGGAGGCGGTCGTATTAAGGTGCCTGCCTCCATAAATCAATTTTTGGAGTCGGACACACTATAAGGCCCGCCTCCTAAAAAGGCTGAGGCCCAATAGGCCCAGACGAGGCCTGATAGTCGTATTCGATATAAATAGAGGAAGTTAGGGTTTCTTCCTTCAATCTCTCTTCGTCACCCTCTCCCTCCTTAGCCAACTCCGTCCAAGCGGCGCTCCGTCCTCTCCCAGCGACGCTTTTGAAAGGTCCTAATGGCTAGAGGGGGGGGTGAATAGCCTAATAAAAATTTCTACAACAACACTCAACAAGAGGGTTAGACAATTATGAGGCAAAGCAAGTGTTGCGCTAGCCTACTCAAAATGCAAGCCACCTACCACAATTCTAGTTTAGGTAGAATCTATTCACACAATAGCTATGACACTACTCTATGTTAGTGTGCTTTCAAAGGCTAACTAAAGAGCAATACCAACCAACCAACCAAGCTCTCACAACTAACTACACTAAAGAGCTTGACAACTAGTTTGCGGGTAATGTAAAGAGAGTGATAAAAAAGTTATCCCGCCGTGTAGATGAAGGAACCAATCAATCACAAGGATGAATAACAATGAAGACCAATCACCTCGGAATCAATGATGAACACAATGTTTTTTTACCGAGGTTCACTTGCTTGCCGGCAAGTTAGTCCTCGTTGTGGCGATTCACTCACTTGGAGGTTCACGCGCTAATTGGCTTCACACGCCAAACCCTCAATAGGGTGCCGCACAACCAACACAAGATGAGGATCACACAAGCCACGAGCAATCCACTAGAGTACCTTTTGGCGCTCCACCGGGAAAAGGTCAAGAACCCCTCACAATCACCACGATCGGAGCCGGAGACAATCACCACCCTCCGCTCGACGATCCTCGCTGCTCCAAGCCATCTAGGTGGCGGGAACCACCAAGAGTAACAAGCGAATCCCACAGCGAAACACGAATATCAAGTGCCTCTAGATGCAAACACTCAAGCAATGCACTTGGATTCTCTCTAAATCTCACAAAGATGATGAATCAATGATGAAGATGAGTGGGAGGGCTTTGACTAAGCTCACAAGGTTGCTATGTCAATGCAAATGGCCAAGAGAGTGAGCTTGCGCCAGCCATGGAGCTTAAATAGAAGCCCCCACGAAATAGAGCCATTGTACCCCTTCACTGGGTACAACGCGGGGTGACCGGACGCTCCGGTCATACTGACCGAACTCTGGACCCAGCGTCCGGTCGCTCGATGTCAGCCACGTGTCACACTGCGTTCAACAGGAGTCGTTTGATCTCAACGGTCATCTGTTGACCGGATGCTCCGCTATAACTGACCGGACTCTGAGCCTCTAGCGCCTGGTCGTTTCTAGTAAGGTTCCAGAAACGAATTACTTCGACCGGACGCGTCCGGTCATGCTTGACCGGACCCAGCCAGCGTCTGATCACACTATGACTTCTTACTGTGCTGCCCGACAACACGACCAGACCCAGATCCTTAGCGTCCAGTCATTCACCGACGCTGGCGTCTTCACTGTCATACATGGCCGGACGCGCCGGTCCCCTAGAGGTCCAGCGTCCGGTCACTGTATAGCCAGTGACACAAACTCCTTTTCACCTCTAACTTCTTCACTCTTACTCAAATGTGCCAACCACCAAGTGTATCACCTTGTGCACATGTATTAGCATTTTTTCACAAACATTTTCAAGGGTGTTAGCACTCCACTAGGTCCTAAATGCATATGCAATGAGTTAGAGCATCTAGTGGCACTTTGATAACCGCATTCCGATATGAGTTTCACCCCTCTTAATAGTATGGCTATCAGACTTAAATGTGATCACACTCTCTAAGTGTCTTGATCACTAAAACAAAATAGCTCCTATGGTTTATACCTTTGCCTTGAGCTTTTTATTTTTCTCTTTCTTCTTTCCAAGTCCGAGCACTTGATCATCACCATGCCATCATCATCATTATGCTATGATCTTCATTTACTTCACCACTTGGAGTGTGCTACCTATCTCATGATCACTTGATAAACTAGGTGAGCACTTAGGGTTTTATCAATTCACCAAAACCAAACTAGAGCTTTCAATCTCCCCCTTTTTGGTAATTGATGACAACCCTTATATAAAGATATGAATTAGAATTCAATTGAATCCATGTTCCTTATCCAAGCATATTTACCATGTGTAAAAGGATATGGACAAGTTTCATGAACTCCATATGGTAGCAATTGCTCCCCCTACATATGTGCTAAGAGTTTGGATTGTAGCTTGCACATATGATTAGATAGGAAATATAGGAGACAATGTCTACCAAATGATGCTAAGGTATAAAAGATGGACCTTTGAAGCGTGATACCAATCAGAGTGCACCATTATACCATCCTTAGCACCATAGTTATCTAGATACCACTTGAAAAATACTTCGAAATGATAGCTAGATACCACTTGTAAAAACTTTATAAAAGATACCACTTGAAAATCTATTTGAAATAGATATCACATGGTAATACTTGGAAATGATATCACTTGTGAATAAACCTATGCATGCTAGATTTTCATTTCATCATTCAAGTCTACAACTATCATTCATCACACACGCATGGATATTTAAAAAAAAACTTGTGTTATGCAAGCAAACATATGAAATGCACATTCAAATGCATCATATAAGTTCATGAGCTTGCTCCCCCTACTTGTGTGCTCAAAATTTTAATTGATCCCTTTCCTTTGTCATATCTCCCCTTATGTCAAGTTCTCTCCTTATCACTTATATC